TAACTGTACATCTAACAGAGTAACTGACTGTAAAACTTACTGAATTTGTGACTAAAACTGAGTAACTGACTGTACAACTAACCCAGTAACTAATTGTACATCTAACTGAGTAACTGGCTGTACAACTTACTAAATATGTGACTAAACCTGAGTAATTGATCATATAACTAAGTAACTAGCTGTACATTTAACCGAATAATTAACTGTACATCTAACTGAGTAACTGACTGTACAACTTACTCAATTTGTGACTAAAACTGAGTAATTGATCGTATAACTAAGTAACTGACTGTACAACTAACCCAGTAACTAATTGTACATCTAACTGAGTAACTGGCTGTACAACTTACTAAATATGTGACTAAACCTGAGTAATTGATCATATAACTAAGTAACTAGCTGTACATTTAACCGAATAATTAACTGTACATCTAACTGAGTAACTGACTGTACAACTTACTCAATTTGTGACTAAAACTGAGTAATTGATCGTATAACTAAGTAACTAACTGTACATCTAACAGAGTAACTGACTGTACAACTTACTCAATTTGTGGCTAAAACTGAGTAATTGATCGTATAACTAAGTAACTGACTGTATAACTAACTCAGTAACTAACTGTACATCTAACTGAGTAACTGGCTGTACAACTTACTCAACATGTGACTGTAAACCTAACTCAACAAGTGACAGTACATTTAACTGAGAGATTAACTGTATAGATAGCTCAGTAATTGACTCTAAAATATGTTCAGCAACAAAATTACTATGTTCGTACAATTAATACAATAATTTTTAATTGAAGACACAAGTAAAAAGGTAGGAGACATAATGAATTTTCTTTGCACATTTCAGTTTCAGCTGTATACGAGTCATTTTCCATTAAGACGATAAACAAACAGTTTCGATGAATCGGTGTTCAAAATGATTCACTGAACGGTTTCGACGACATACCTGTTTAATCTTCTTCACAACATATTTCAATGATTTTACTTAAAAAAATTAAACTACAGGTTTTCTGCGTTCAATATTTCTTCCGTTTGAGGCAAAATGTAAAATTTGTGTAGCGAGTAACTTGTAGACAAGATTGTTCTAGTATCGTCTGAAATTTCTATGGCACAGGAAAAGGCGCAGGTTATTACTCTCTAGTTTGTATTTATTTGTTCTCTAAACAACTGGTAAGTGAAGGATTGATTTTTCTTCTTAAAATATCAATTTTATAATGGATTCTTGTATTAATATTAATTAAACTTCTATTAATTACAACATTTTAGCTTTACTTTACTTGTTTTCAATACATGTTATATGGAAAGCGGAATGGCTTTTTATTCAATGTTCTTCATGACTATTTCTAAATGGGACAGTGGACCATCTTTTGACCTTTCATACCTTAGTCTCAGAAACGGGATTTTGTTTGCTAAGCCACACGACGTCATCAATAACGTCTAAACGCATGCAATTTCCAGTAAAGACGATAGTGAGCAAGTATGCAAAATTTCAAAATATATTTTATCTGCATTTGAATATCAGTGTGTCAATTTCCTACTCGGCATAAAAGAAGCTGTTAATGTGGCCAGTATTGTATCTGATGAAATACGTCAGCTATGATAGTATTGTAAAACTAGGATAAAAAATTGCATACGTTTCATTGTGGTTTTAACACCGTGGTAACTCATGAATGTAGAAAAGTAATACATATTCTAGAAGTATCCATCCATAATAACTGTCCTATTTACCTAGTATATAAATGCTAATAACGCTTTCAGGTAGGGAATATTATCTTGAAAAAGTTCGAATTCGATAAAGGATTAGGCTACATAGTTTAAAGTCTTGATACACCGAACTTATGGTAAATATGGTATAGAATCAAAAGTTTATGTCAGCATTTAATGAAATTTTGTTATGTGTGTTGGTTTATATGAAAAGATATTTTGACACAAATTGACGACCGTCCTTAATATACCAAATTTCATCAGGGCCTGGGCTTATCTTGCAAGGCAACCACTTGTTTTTACTAAATCTACATCAAAGTATATCATACATGCATTTTTACTTCTCTGATATGTTTTTTTAAAAGTCAGCAGTGAATAATGGCTGCAGTGGACATTTATGATCATAAGTATTGCTATTTGATTAATAGGTTCTCAATGCGGGCATGTATCGCATTTGTTTTTATTTTTAATTCATATTCATATATATATATATATGCAGTATAACCATCATAATGTCGTAATCATAATGATGACATTTCAGAAACCGAATGCGGGCATTTATAACTTTCATACATTTTCACACAAAAAAATGTAGAAATCTTGTTAATGGCAAGTCGAAATTGATATATGAATATTAAAAATCTATAAAAACTAGCGTAGCCTAAGCTCTTTATATTACTTTCAGAGAGTGCATGGGGACACTCTAGAGCACCGAGATACGTTTGCATTGAGAAAGAAATGGCGTTTAGAAATTCTCTTGTTACTTTCTGTGTTAGTTGTAATATTAGTATGTCTAAACTCAGGTAAGTTGAATACTTTTGGTGTTCTTTTAAACTGTTTCTGTTAAGATCTTTATTTATAGAAGCATTGCATTCTGAATCAGAAATGAAAACATCTGAATCTTTGATTTTGTGTATTTGCAACTTAAACGTATTCAATTTTTCTATTTTATGTGTAATTTTGACATAATTACTAATAAAGCTGTATTGACAGAAATGAACACTGATCTAATTTGGATTGTAAATGACGATTCACGCATCTGTCGCAATTGACATCTACTATATCTATGCATAATCTTGAAAGTTTCCACATATATAAGCAAAGGGCATTCGGTTTTTTCCTTTTTGATTTGCGAGTAGAATACAACAAATCACAAAGGCGTGGGGAATGGATGTTTGGGCTTCAACCCCCACGTGGGCCTTGACGTTTTCGTACCAGTGTATAAGTATTGTATGGTTGAGAGCAATGGGACTAGTAAGACCTTTTTCTCGTGTTAAATTCAATTCCCTTTACAGACGATCATAAGCTGAATTCAGAAACGGTATATCGACAGAATCGACAGAGAGTATTGAAATGGTCTATGGAATCATCACAAGCCAATACTACCAAACCAACCGAAAACAACCAACCAAAAACCTTGGTCATACTTTTAACTTATATGCGCAGCGGATCCTCATTCACTGGTGATCTTATACAACGTCATCCAGATGTATTCTATGTATATGAACCACTTTATAAAATTTCGGCATCTCTCCACCAGTCCAAGAAATTAACATTTTTCAACAAAAAGGACACGTAAGTATTAGTCCTGAAAGGGGCAATATTTTAAGTTTGACTTGTTACGAATACTGATCGCTATCAATTTTGTATTTGGGATTTATTTTATTTATTTGTCCACTACTTTTGCAAAGCAGACAGTGGCGTATTGGAGGGGGGGGGGGGGGGGGGGGGGGGGCCCATTTCTAAGCCGTTGGCCCTCTAAATGCTCAGAATTCATCAAATGTCATCTGAAATCTGGCAACCTCTGACCCCCCGCCCTCAAGGGACTTCGCATCCCTCGCCCTTTTAAGCATATTCTAGAAAGTAGAAGAATTTTTCAATCGGGGCTGGATTCGTTATACATAAATATCATTTTAAGGTGTCTAGCACAATTTGATACCGAGTTCTATCCAATTGAAATCTATAGGGCTATATATATCTTCCTCTGCTACAATTTGTACGGTGTGATAATAGTATATTAAAAGGATTCGCCAGAAGTAGCTATTATAACAAATTATATTTAATCCTAAACACATGATTGTAGTAATAACTTTTATAGACTGTCATTAATATTACTTTACTATTCTAGTTAAATATAAGTATCTAGTTTCATAGACAGATATTATTGTTTCTATTGAAATATATAACGGTAATAGTCAGTGTAGTTTTATATTATAGAGTGGAAATGCTGTTAAACATTGATTCAATTTATTAACCTGCTTGGTCTTTCAAATTAAAATAAATAATATTAATTGTACGACCAATGGAGATTCTGGTACAGATTTGAAACTAAAAGACTGTGTTAAATTAGGCGTTAAATACTCAATTCAAATTAGTTTTCCATGTTTTTTCAATTTTGTCAGAGGTGGGGTACCATTTTACGATATTTCTTCAGCAGTAACGGTAATATTAATGGCCAAAATTTTACTAATTCTTAGTACATGTACACGTAAATTCGGTTTGTGTTGAATGTTGAACTGCGAAATCTTAAATTGTATGTTGTATCGTACATAAATATACATCAATATTTACAGAACTAATGATCGTTCTTCAATATACCCAACCATACCTGATATCATTATGACCCGATAAACGCTGATATTTGTATGCGAAATCTAATACCGTATGTTGTACTGAAGAATCTTAATGTATAAAAATACAATAAGGTATAAGTGTATATCAATGTTCTTTACTGTCAAATTTAATACCGTATGTTGTACTGAAGAATCATTTTATATATAAATATAATAAGGTATAATGTTTAATATTCATTATTTTTTAGGAAAGTTAATCCAGGAAATTACAATAAATTGTCCATAGAAGCAATGGAAAACATCTTCAATTGCAACATATCAAACCTTGACGTAGATACATTAAGACAGTACCATTATAGAAGCAGTTTAAGTACCAAAAGCTACATGGAGTGTATCAAACGTAACACCGGGATTATGGGAATCGTTAATTGTCTGCCATTGTTTCAAAAAACATGCAACCGATCGAAACTAGTGCTATTGAAAATTATACGACTAAATCTTATAGAAACGAGATTTTTATTAGAAAATTATCCACATTTAAAAATTATTCATTTAATTCGCGATCCGAGAGGTACCTTACGTTCTCAGAGGAGTGTGGGCCAATTTCGCCAGACAGGGGCCTTAAATGGTACGAAGGAGTTCTGTAACAGAGTATCCGATGATATAAAATGGTCTAAGCGCCTTAAAAAGAAATTTCCGAATAGGATCAAAACTCTTCGATATGAAGATATTTCTGAAAAACCAATCAAAGCCACTGAGAATTTATATGAATTTCTTGGCTTAAAAATCAGTCAAAATATCACAGACTACATTTGGAATATCACTTCAGCTGGGCTTCCAGACAACTGTGTTATCTGTACGACAAGAAACAATTCCGTTGCCACTGCTTATAAATGGAGGCATCTATTGGAGCATAGCTTAGTGAAGATTATTGACAACACATGCTCGGATGTCTATAAACAAATGGGTTATGTCCCTGTGAAAAATATAGCAGAACAAAGAAACTTGAAAATTCCAGTGAAAATCCCAATGAAATTTGAACATTAGATCCAAATGTAACAAATTAAAGTGACAGATTCGCCATACGTATTACCAATCGTACCTTTGTCTCAGAAATGGGAATTGTTTTAGCTAATCTTTTCAGTAATAGTGTTTAATGTGTGCGGTAAAAAGTAGACTCGTCTTTTCTTATCAGCTACAGCAAATACATATGCACTAATAGAAAGTGAAAGTTTTCGAGGCAATTTTGAAGGATTTTTGTGATTTTCGCACATTTCTAGTAATTCTGAAAACTATTTACATATAATTATACTCAAGACCCAAACTAACTCCCTAAAATGGCGAACCTATCTTTTTAAAAAAGACTTTCCTGAAAGCAAATCTGGTCCCCATTTCGTTCACAGCTTTAAAGGGGCAGACCGTTTTGTTCAATGAGTTTTTGTGGTCTTGATGTGAAGTACATAATTCTTCATGTCAACACGTAGAGGAAGATGCCACTTGCCTTTTGTGAAAGTTTCAACGTGATAAATCCAGGCGTTAAGTCACAATCATAATCACAATTATAAAATAATTCTTAAACGGTTACGTAAATATTTTAAATCTCGTGGCCTTCATTTTTTACTGTTCTGGAAAATAGCGATTATAAGAACTCAATGTTAAATGGACCAATTGAACCAATCAGCGTTAACACACATATTTCCAACCGGACATCTCAATAGAAAATAAAAGTAGCGTGCAACTTCGTTATTTTTCATTTCTCATTTATTGTGATTTTGTGAATTGTGCTAATATGACAATAATCTATAATTTACATGTAACAACCGGAGAGGTACACAAAGAAAGATATTTTTTTAAATTCGTCGTCATTTGTAAACAAAACCTTGTGCGCATGTCCGTGTAACATGTAATGTAACATCATAAATATAACAACACAACATGCATGTAAATATATTTTAGCAATTTAGAGCTATGTTAAATTGATTACGAGCGTTTCCAGAACAAGGGCAATAACCCTTGGGATTATCCTTGAGTGATTACAAACAACCATACCAAATTTCGTCGAAATCAGTTAACGAACAATTGTGGACGGACGGACGCCCCATTTCATGTGGGCGTATAACAACATAAAAATATGGCCCACATTGGGTTCCATAGAATTTTTCTGCTGACAGGGAATCCGCTGGATTGTCAAGTGATCGTGTTCACTGGATTATATTCTATCAGACGACACTTGAAATGCCGATTAACATGAAATTTTCCAGAACAAGGGCAATAACCCTTGGGATTATCCTTGAGTGATTACAAACAACCATACCAAATTTCGTCGAAATCAGTCAAGAATTGTGCCTTGTAGAGTGTTAACGAACAATTGTGGACGGACGGACGCCCCATTTCATGTGGGCGTATAACAACATAAAAATATGGCCCACATTGGGTTCCATAGAATTTTTCTGCTGACAGGGAATCCGCTGGATTGTCAAGTGATCGTGTTCACTGGATTATATTCTATCAGACGACACTTGAAATGCCGATTAACATGAAATATGGCCGTTAAAAAATAGTGATATTTGGTATTAACTGAAACTTTGTATATATTAGGAATAAATAATAAATTTGACATTGCTTTGAAACGATAGGAAAAATTCCACATGATGACGTTGTAGAGATAACCCATGTTCATCACAACATGCAAATGAGGAGGTCACGCGAGGTCGCACAATCATATATCATTTCCGGAGATACACGAAATTAGGTTACTTGACTGTATTACTTTTGGCTTCTTTGTGAGATATAAACACTGAATGATTTTGTTTTTGTTTTTATTTCAAAAATTGTGTAATTATTGATAGATGTTGTAGTTGTAACTGTAGTTGTAGTAATTTTATAATAAAACATGGTGCTCACTACTTCACTTCACTTTTTTAGCATAGCTTTCTAGAAAGTTTAGTTTAAGGGTCTTATAGAGAAGATGTCCTTTACTGATTTTGAATCAACAGTCATGTATGGAATATGTAGTATTAAATTATTAGTGCCAATTTGCATCGTAAATTAGATACATATAAAGTTCCTTTATTGAACAGACACGTATAACGTGTTATTACAGACCACATGAAAATATAATTATCCCCCTTTGACCACAAGTAAACCTTGTACTTGCTTGTGTCCTGAAAATATCGATGGAAAGAAGCGGACTAAACATCGTATGCATTTAACACCATTGCAACAGAAGGCAAATAATTAAAATTAAAATGTTTAGGAAATAAAACAAAAACTAAAGAGACTTAATTTAACTTATAGCCTTGATATATCGGGTGTAACAAGGGGATAGTTTAGAGTCCGCAAAACCGCAATCGCAGAATGTTCGAAGCGCTTTTGGTGAGGTGTTCAGGATATTTTCCCTGAAAATTTTGAAAATCAGAAACCCGAAACGCGTTTTTTTTTTTACATCTCCCAGCGACTATCGGTCTTGCATTGCGTTACAGTGCGTTAATGATGTATGTGCAGTGCGCGAACAGGTCGCAAAAGCTACCCCTTGTGTAAGTACGCGTTGCTACAACGTTGGGTCAGAATTCGTGCAAATGCGTTTTCATCTCGACCATACAAATAAACAAGATTGAAGGGAGATAACAAAATCATAAAAAGCTCATTTGAAGTAAGAACTGGTGGTCATCTAAAAAAAACTACACACTTATCTATTATGAAATAGAACTGCAGCTTTCAACGCATCGAAACCTTCTAAGGAAGGAGTTGCGTTGGAAACAACAGGCCTGCAGTCAACGTCGATAACCTCAGAGATTTACATGCATTTTAAGCCTCTGTCTTGACTCGGCAATTACAAGTATAAAATACCTTCGTTTCCCACCACATGTTTCAAGCTCATGTGGAATCCATCCAACAGTGCCAGAACTCCGCTTCGCGTGGTGTGGGAAATGACGTAGTGCGTCAACGCTGTGTTGGGTGAATTCCACATGAGCTTGAAACGTCAAGCAATAACGCTCTCCGTGTGGACGCCAATTTTCAAAATGCCATCAAATTTTATTTTGTTCATTGAAAACAGATATGGGCGTTTTCAATCCACCAAATTGCCATGCTCAAAATCGATCTCTTTGCGCCAATGATTTAACTGGTAACTCTCCATGTAAGGTCGTATACGAGGTCAAAATCTAGAGACCAATCGATTTTAGAAACCCTAAATTATAAAATTATAATCAGTTCTGTCCGTCTGGGCTTATTGGACGTATTCATTCGTAACAATTCACTAGAATTGTCATTATGTCAAACTATTATGAGCTCTTTTGTGGCACCATGCAGGAACATTGTTAGAATATACGGTAATGTCGTAAAAGTGGATCGGGACAACTCTGAAAAAGTGACAATTGTGGCAGGCCCTAAACGTGCCACAACAGAGAAAGAAAAGGTCTAGTTTCTGTGCAGTGTGAAAGTAGAATATTTTTAACGTCATCTGTCAAGAACACTATTCCAGCTTCCTGAAGACTTTTCCACAACGAAACGACACAAATGACGTCTTTGATTAGTAAGAGATCCGCATTCCACTTCGTACACTGGTGTCTATTATTTCATTGATTTGCATGCGACGCTTATTTTTGTTGTTGTTGTATTTAAAGGGACAGATGCGCCATTTTTTTTACCAATCATACTTTAGTCTCAGAAACAGGATTTTGTAAGCTGAGCTGACCAGTAATAGTGTTCCCAGCTCACCGTCGAAATTTTAGCCTTCAAATCCATGTGTGTCCAGAATTATCAACGTTTTAATGTTAAAACGACGACACGTAACATATGAAAAAGACATATATAAATAGTGAGTAAAATTCCTAGTTTGAGGTATTTTTAAATGAATTATGATATTTTCATACATTTCTAGTACTTCTGAAGACTATTTATATACATTCAAGACTAAAATTAGCCCCTAAATATGGCGCACCTGTCACTTTAAAGGGATACAGTTGCCTAGAATTTCAGCTACCCATAGTACTTCTCATAATTAAAAATTGACTTTCGACAAAAACACTAAAATTCAGACTACACAATGTAGTTACTTCAAGGGTATTCTCGTGTGCAGTTATTACCAATGACGTCAATATATCGGTTGCATTGCAGTGGAAGGGACGAAAATATTAAATGGCTCTGTATCTGATTTCCTGCTAAACGGAACTTTATATTTTAATTGATAAAGTCCAAAGATAGCTTCAATTGAGGTCTATAAGTATTAGTTGATAAATGAAATATCAATTTTAGACGACAATGTCCCTTAAAATCATTCAATGTTGGTGTAGTTTTAAATTTAGGGATTTTTTTTTTATAGATCAAGCGATCAAGAGATGCTATTTTAAAAAAAGTACAATCTGTAATGGTATAACATCAAAGCAGAAAGTACATTTTCTTTTATTTCTTGCCACATTTTCTCCTTTTTGTCAGAAGAGTTTCTCTGTAGGATTGCACCGGAAAGGCTAATTATATCCTCTCGAGGTCTGCCTGTACTGAATTGCAAAAGGGCATTAAAATACAGATTTTTTTTTTCGCTTATTTTCTTTGAGAAAATTTTCTTATCTGATCTGACAACAAGTTTTTATTTTATTCAAGTTTGATCCCATAGTGTATATTGTGTATATTATCTTCACAAACCAATCAGAACCATTGTTAGAAGCGTGTCTATATAATGTATCCCATGCTCTGATCGAACACGACATTTGATTGGTTGTTGAATCGATGCTTTTCTCACTAATGTTTAATCAAGCAGGAGTAAAGGAGCCCATCGAAAATAAACGAAACAAATTTAGCTGTGTTCTTGTACAATTTTTGAAGAAACAAGAATTAGATAATAATTTAATTATCATTGCTTAAAGACAGACAATTCTAAATTACAATATAAAATAACATTATAAAGATATATTCCAATAAAAGAGAGACTTGGAATGGTTAGAAAATGATATGTCTTGATAATCTTATAGTCACGATCATAAAGTCATTTTCTTTTTTTTGCTTTGAAGCTGATGAATTAATTTATTGAAAAACAGAATTTATAGCGACGTTCGTGATACAGCTCAATCTGAATCGGTGACTGGGAAATCTGATTTAGTAATTTTACTAGAAAATCCGATTTAATTTGTAAAATTTAAAAGTAACTCGAAAATTCGACCTACTAGTACTGTTACTGGTGAGTTCAAAATAGTAACTCGAGTATAAGCAGTATGAACAAATGATTTTCAAGAAGCTTTCGTTCTGTTGAATTCTATCCCGAAAAGGTAAAAATCTCCGAAATTCCAGAAATAGGCTAAGTACTGTCGGTGTCTTTTATGATTTTGTTATTATGATTGTGACTAATAGACGTTGTTCAATGAAAGAAGTTTAACGCACGATTGCGTAAATATAGGCAAATATCATACAAAATACAGCTTGAAAGATGCTCGAAAAGTATCATTTAAAAAAAAAGAATTGATTACTTAAAGCAACAAATTATTTCAATCCAATTTCGTCATCCAAAACGTCATTTCCTGTTTTCGGTGGTGCCATGACGCATGTGTAGGATGTAAAATCATCTTCTGATTTGCCACATCTGTTTAAATGATAACGGTGTCCACGATATTCACGACAGCACAAATCTAAACATTCTAAACTATCTCGGCATTCTTCCCCTGTAACGATAAAAAAAAGTTTTTTTAACGAAATAAAATCAAATGAAAGTATGTTTTATAAGGAAATGAATGAAAGTATGTTTTATATAGGAAATGAATGAAAGTATGTTTTATATAGGAAATGAATGAAAGTATGTTTTATATAGGAAATGAATGAAAGTATGTTTTATATAGGAAATAATTGAAGGTATGTTTTATAGGAAATGAATAAAAGTATGTTTTATATAGGAAATGAATGAAAGTACGTTTTATATAGGAAATGAATGAAAGTATGTTTTATAGGAAATGAATAAAAGTATGTTTTATAGGAAATGAATGAAAGTATGTTTTATATAGGAAATGAATGAAAGTATGTTTTATATAGGAAATAATTGAAGGTATGTTTTATAGGAAATGAATAAAAGTATGTTTTATATAGGAAATGAATGAAAGTATGTTTTATAGGAAATGAATAAAAGTATGTTTTATAGGAAATGAATGAAAGTATGTTTTATATAGGAAAAGAATGAAAGTATGTTTTATAGGAAATGAATAAAAGTATGTTTTATAAGGAAATGAATGAAAGTATGTCTTATATAGGAAATGAATGAAAGTATGTTTTATTATAGGAAATGAATGAAAGTATGTTTTATAGGAAATGAATGAAAGTATATTTTATAGGATGTGAATGAAAGTATGTTTTATATAGGAAATGAATGAAAGTATGATTTATATACTTATATACTTTATATGAAACTATGCCTTATAAGGAAAGACAATCTAGACAAAACTGTGGTTCTAGTGAATTTCACAAACGAAAAGTGCTTGATGTCCACCTAGAAATATTAATAATTCGACAGAGATTTACATATTTTTGGCGATTATTTAAAAATGGTAGAAAATCGAATCTTTTACGCATTCATGAGAAAGAAATGCTAAATTCTCCACATTGCACACTGCATAGCGCTGTCTTCATTAGCTCAATCAGATAGAGAAAAGTTTGGCGTGAAAAATCTATTCAGTTTCATTTCATTTCCAAACTATTTAATGTTAATCTGTGTTCTATATAAAGAAGCAGCTCTAGTCCTGAAGGTATTTCTAAACACTCGCCAACACTCAATAGGCATTAGCAAAGTTTTATTCTTGTAATTGAACACTAGGGGGCGTCGCGATAGTCAAGACATGAATACTTATGCGTGTTTAAAGCTATTTTCGCCGCTAGGGGCACTTCAGTTCCTCTAATTTACTAACTTGATAATCGAGATGTAAATGAATGATATCACGTGGTGTAGTCTCCTTTTCCCCGCGGGAATAACGTTTATGGAAGCCGGAACGTGGAAATAGAAATGTTCAAATGAAGTTTATGGCGTTTTTGTAACTCAATATATCAACTAAACGACAATTGGCGAGATTTTACGAGAGCTAAACTGATGTTTTCATGTCATTGGTTCCGTTAATTTATTGGAATCTAGAGAGAAGAAACATCCAATTTAAACCAAGTAATTATATTTTTTTCAACAATTGCCTTGAATAGAAAATTGATTTTTAGTGTCTGAATTCCTTGCCACATAAAATATAAATTTCTTTTTTTTTATTTCTACTTATATTTAAATGTTCGGAAGTTGCAATTTAACGAAAAATATTGTATTCCATGCAAATTTATCGATTTAAAGGCCCTGTCACAACATGACGAATAACCAAGCGCCCCGTATTCTCAAAAAGATCTTAGAGCTAGGCTGTCCTAGGTTCTTATCTTCTAACATAGATTCTAGGACATCTTAGTGCCGGCATACCAAATTTCTCTAAACCGCTGGCATAACTTTTGATGTGTTTGTTATATCAATTTTGGGGTCATGGGTAACGAAATTAAAAATGCTCCGTCAACACTTACGCAGACTGAAACCTGTACTTCCGGTTGATTCCATATATCCTTAAAGCGCAGAACTCGCCAATCGAGCACCCCCACGCCCCTTCCCACTCTCTCCAATCAGTTGATTCAATAATAAACAACAAGTTCAAGGTCATGATCAAATGTTAATGACATTTATTGTGGTCTGTAATTTGAGAAGAGTTATCGGTATTGATTTATTGATAAGCTGTTTCGCCAACTGTGTGATTGTTTTTATAATGATGTATTCAGACTAAATTACTGTACCAATGGTTAATCATCTGTGCTTGCCAGCAACCCTTTATTTCCCATGCAACACAAGCCAAGCAAGCAAGAAATTTCTCCACGTATATGAGCAAAAATGGCAATTGCATATTCAAAATATCAAAACTTAGATGGCAATTTAGTTCACAAAAAAAACAAACGGTACATCAGAAACTACCACTATAGTTCTAGACCACCAGATAGCTTCTCTTCCAATTTCTAAATGAAATATCAGACTGTTTCACCCCGGTTCTTTTAGAAGAAGTCCAATCCCACAAATCTGGCTCGGATGTGATATGCGGATAGAATGTTGTCATGTTTCGTGACAGACATGAATTTGGCTTATAACATGATGAACATTCTAAAAAAACTGGCGATCTAAACATGGGTCGGAGCTACTCCCATAAAAAGTCTGGCTAAAACGTGCCAATATCACATCCGTATATCACGTCCGAGGAACGGGTAGGGCCAGTTTTTCGGGCAAAGAGAAGTCAAAACTTCCCCTTATCGAAAATTAAATACAGAATAGTGTTCCTGACATTGATCTGTGACATTGACAAAAATAAAAAGGTGAATGCTTACCAGCTTTTTTATGAGGCTTAACATAACGGCTAGCTGCCAATGCCTCCACATTTTCACATGTACTGTATCTATGTTCTGAAATATAAAAAAATAATTATTCAAATTAATTCAAAATGGCCGTTTAAATTTCCTATATGGCTGAAAGTGAACCCACGTATACGCGAAAATAACACTTTTTTAAAACTTGTGCATTTAGTTTACACTCCGAAAATGATATTTTTAGAGTACACATCAAGTTCATTTCAAGCAAAAAGGTTCAGTGATCATTCTTTCAACTATGCAGCTAACTAATATATCAGGAAAAACGAAGGTAATCGGTTGTAAATTCCAGGAATCACACTTGGCCCACCCCAAATATTGCAAACTTTAGTAGGGGGTCGGGGACCTTGTCACTAGCAGAATCTACGAGCAACTGTATTTTCAACTTAAAGCAAGAGATGGCATATAAGAAGACGATTTTTTTCAGTTACTTTAAGGCAATATGCATACAGTATTAAAAATATAATTATATCTACAATATACAAATTGTTACAAACAATTCCATTTACAAACTTATGTTAATAGGTTTTATGCCTCTGTTTGCAATCAGATTCTTATTTTATGGTTACAAGTAAAAACGGATCTTGTCATCGAACTGATTGGTCAATCGGTAAGTTTCTCCGATGGCATGCATGAATCAATATTCTTCACAAAGTCAAGCTATTACGAACATCATCTAATACCTTGACTGCAATAGCCATGGAATCCAACGATTTGATTGGACTGTACGCCAGCGAATACAGCCAATCATAGCCTCTGACAGAAAGACTTTTAACTTAATGGTTTTTTGTTTACAGACTTTCTGTCAAGTATTCTGATCGGCTGTATCCGCCAGCGTACATTCTAACCAAATCGCTACTTCTACAAACATCTGTGTCACAAGAGAGGTGGATATTTGTGTCAGTTATAAGACGAAATTCGTAATAGCTTGACCATTGTTAAGATGGCATAAATCGTCAGTTGATCTCCAGCATTCAATCACGTGCCTTCTTTGTGTCGCTCCAATATGATTCAAAAATATGTTTTTATTGACATTCCAACCAGAAACCCCTTTGACACTGAAACGTGAGACGATTTATTGCTTTTTCTTTTAATTTTAACCTCAAGAAAAACATTTTCGCATTTACAGCCAATTATTTTGAGAAAATTAATCGATTAAGCAAACATGGAGTAACATAATTATAACGATTTTAGCTCGTTATTCATTGTTTCCATGGTGTTAGCCTCCATAATTAGTTTTAATGTAATAATTAGGCCCATTATGATGGCAAATTATAGGCTTACTTTTACTGAAATTTAGTTCGTGTATATCAAACGTAAAATTTACCGCTTACTTTCTGATCATAGAACTGGAATAATGGCTCATATTTTTTAGATATGGTTATTAATATTGATAATTTTCACTACAGGCTTCAATTTAAGAGGCCAAAATGAACACTTTTGCAATTCAAATATTTCCTATGATTAGTTAAAATACATCACGAAAATCTGCGAATCAAAACAAATTGTGTATATCCGCTAGAATTTTCTGCCAATAGTGTAGAAATATAAGGCAACTATCGGCTGTCTCTATAATCTTAAAAACACAAACGTCATCTGCAGGACCTATATAAAATCTGCTACAACAATACTATTGGATCATTTTGAGTTTCTACCAAATTCTTAGGAAAAAAAAATTCTTCGCACTGAAGGTGTGTTTTTATTAAATGTGTTGATTGATATGAACCGGACTCATTTGTGCATAACTTTGTAAATTACCATCTTTATACCGGACTGGATACATAGACAGTCAGTAGTCTATGTTTAACTATTCAGATGGAAGGAATTGTGACTGCTGAAATGCAGCTTTTCCCCTGAATTTTCAACGACTGTTTCTAAGCAATTCGCGGCGTTTGAGTATGTCATCAATGGATGAATTCAGTCGACCAGAGCGCAATGAAAATCGCCGTATCTGGTATAGTTACTGTAAGCTTTTAGCGAAATTTTAATCCCGTCGTCGACCTTGGCTGTTGGAATTTGCCACCATCCAGTTGATGGTAGTTGCCAGTAGATGGTCCGAGGAGATGCATTGAATCGATCTGAACCCAACAGTAGATACCCTCTCACAATAGCGATTACCAGTTGCGTATTGGGAGTAACGAAAATTGTCATGAGTACGAACGTAACTCATTACTCCGTTACATGAGAATTGCGTTCGAAACATATGACCGCCATTCTTATTCGCAAAAGGTGATCGCTATGATATGGGGACACTTTTAAACGGAAATGGAATTTTTTAAGGTGACTTACTTGCATATATCGAGTATTTTGCGTTGGTTAAACAAACGTCACGTAATGAACAACATTGGCTGCTTTGTAAACATTGTACCCCGGTTTTCACACACTGAAAAAATATAAAAAAAACAGTTAAAATTTAAAAACATAGATTTCTTTAAAAGAAAAAAACAATATGAAGTGAAACATAGTACCACTTTGATTTTATTTTAAAAAAACATGTTTTTCCAAGTAGGTCAGCTGGCTTTTTTTATCAGATGTTTCCACTATATTTTGTTAAATTTCAAATCCTCGGCCAAATCAAAACCATCTAAAATATTGATTTGTTGTATCAAATGATGTTCAGGGACTGACTCGAACACCTTAGTTAGATCTAGAATGGCTAAAGACCGGTTTTTACTCCGCTAAGCGAAGTGTGTAGCAAGCTCTAAAGCTCGGCTATGAAGCGAAATTTCACCTTCACTGAACCTTCGCAAGTTCATTTTCATGCTTGGAGAAGGGGTAGGATGTGGTCTTATTTCCTCATCTCTTCGCTTTGGTCTTTGCAACCAACCAGAGGCAGGCGAAACAAACTGGCGTTCGACATCTCGAAGCCAATCGATGCGTAGCGAATCAAAGCTTTGCTTAGCTTCTTTACCTTCGTTTCGTTCTTTATCTTAACGGAGTATAAACCGGAATTTAATGTTTTCAGTCCCCCATCTGATTTTTACCATGACATTCCAATTGGAAAGCTTAAGTTGTTATTCTACATGTAGGTGTATTTAAAATTCAAGAGGGCGATTCTTTTTCTCTAATACCTGGACGTGATTGAATTTAATCAACTCAAAATTCAAATTATCTCCCCTAACGGGAGGAAAGTGACTATAAAAACTCCAGTTGTCTCGATCATCAAGATATTTAATGACAGTGATTACTTTCATTATCATCATAGACTCGATCAATGTCATTTAAGATTGATTAACAAATAACACAACTGACGTGAACCGCATTCTTTTGATGCTAAATTTAACCAAATGCTGCAGTGGATAACATGCGTTCTAAATACGACCACGGAAATAGCAAGATTTCCTTCTTACATTACTTTTTCTTACTTCATTAGCCAAATCAGGTACAGAAAAGTAGAACTCATTACTGTATATTTTTGCAGTTTAAGTAATGCCCGGGTATTTTTCAGCAAATTTTCAGAAAAAATGTTAATGGTATCTATCAAGCCGATTTCCGACTTAAGTGATGCAGTTCGAAGGTGCTGACACGATAAACCGTCTAATTGTTCGAATGGGCCAACAAATTTAGGCAAATGGGAATGGGGTATAGTTTGTAGATGCAGATGCAGATGCAGCAATGGTATTAGCCGGATGTCAGAATTTTTTCGGAGGGGGGAGAGGGGAAGGAAGTGGCATTGTAAGTTTAATGTAGTGAAGACGGTTTTGATTAGTTTTTGACGTTGGACGTCATGTCCATCAATGTTATAATAAGCAGGGTCGTTAGGTACTTGACGTTGTTTGACATGTAACTGTCGCACATGATAACAAAATTATAGGTTTACAAATTATATAAAAACATATATTATTAGCTCCGATTATCTATATCATCCTGTCTCTAAGTGAAGGTAAACTATTAATGTAATATGTACACACTGGATTCCTTCCAATTCTTCATTATTGGAGACAAGCTTAAAGGGATTGTAAAGAGGTTTTCTAAATTTCAATTTGTATTGGAAAGCATCAATTTGCACCATTCCAATTTTCCATCAAACGTCTGTGGTTCCTGAAATTTCACTAAAACTAAGTTTTATGACGTCACAAATTGCGAAGGTCCTTATGTGAAAAATCATATTTTGCGATTAGTGACGTTATCTTTTGGTAATTTAATTAACATGTGCTTAAAGATGGGTTTCCTTATTTGAAATGAAAATGTTAATACTTATATAAATAGAAAGAAGAGGTGTTCTAATGACTTGGAAAAAATACCAGTTTGTCTCACATGACCATATTTAATTCGTAGTAAGCTAAATTTGAAGAGAATTACCAGCAGAATTCTAATGAGTGACCGATCAAGAAAGGTCAAAAAGTATTTTTTTGGTTTATCCAGACTGTACATACATGGACATTTATGATTGGTTATAACAATTAATTATATGCATTAAGAAAAGTTTAGAAAAAATACATGATGATTCATTAGAAACAACAATTCATCAAATAGTTTGCTAAATTTGATACTAAAAAATAAGGAAACCCATCTTTAAATTTATTAAAGAAATGTTCTTATACAGGCCCGTAGCTCAAAAACTATACAGCATAGAACTTCCGGGTATATTACCACCCTACCCCTACCCATATTATTCCATGATATTGTCTTATGTTTGTGATTTGGTTAATCTCCGTTCAACACTGTTATGTTTTTAGTGGCAGTTGAAGCTAAACGTTAGGGTGAACAAATTTGATTATTTTACAGACAATCTGTCTGAAAGGGGAAATCAAATAACATGTAAGTAGAGGTTTTAAAACCATACGGGTCTAATGAAGATTGAATGAAATGAAATAGTGTTCAATGATGGTGAATTATATCACCAAGGTAGGGACAGTAACTAACGTCTGATCACTGTTGTTGATAAATTTGAAGATCAATGTAAATATATATATAAGCTCTGTGTAATTTACTACATATTGTATAACAGAAGATCAATGTGATATTTATATGGTCCGTGTAATACACTATACGTATTATATAACAAAAGATCAATGTGATATTTATATGGTCTGTGTAATACACTATACATATTATATAACAAAAGATCAATGTGATATTTATATGGTCTGTGTAATACACTATATATTATATAACAGAAGATCAATGTGATTTTTTAAAGATCTGTGTGATGCACTACATATTCTATAATAGAAGATCAATGTGATATTTATATGGTCTGTGTAATACACTATATACCATATAACATAAGATAAATGTGATATTTTTAAGATGTGTGATGCACTATAGATTATATAACAGAAGATCAATGTAATATTATTTATAAGATCTGTGTGATGGACTATAGATTATTTAACAGAAGGTAAATGTTATATGTTTAAGATCTGTGTAATGCACTATATATTATATAACACAAGATCGATGTTATTTTTTTAAGGTCTTTGTAATACACTACGTATTATAAAACACAAGGTCTGTGTAATGTACTAAATATTATATAACAGAAGATCAATGTTATTTTTTTAAGATCTGTGTTATGTACTACATATTATTTAACAGAAGGTAAATTTGATATTTATACGGCCTGTGTAATACACTATATATTATATAACAGAAGAATAATGTAATATATATAAGCTCTTCACGCATAATTTACAACGTTGTGAATAATGTAAATTTTGCATACCGCCCTAATAAGTCAGTCGAGTACGAGAAATCATAGTTTTACATGGCATTAAGAATTGTTTTATTTCCAATACAAAAAACATGGTATACCTTATGATGTATATGGAAGCTTAAGGCGCCATGTAACAAAAGAAACCTTTCTAGTGTGTAAATAATGACTTTAGGTTTTCTGTTTGATTACATGTAAGTCACGTAATAGAAACATTAAATTCTAGAATGTTGTGTGGATTTTTATAATAAACGTTTTTTTTTAGTCAACGTTGTCATTGATTTACATTGTCTTATATATTTATTTTAAGCACTTGGTATACTTAAATAAGACAAAGGGCCGAGGTTGTTCAGGGGGTTAGAGGTGTGTTCGTTCTGGCCCAAGTTTTTGCTTCGGGTTTTTCGACACAATTCTATGTCGCGTGTAAACAGACGTGGTATGTGTCTCAGCTCTCGAACGGTACAATAATCAGAACCCTATGCGATACAGGCTGTACCAGGCTTGTGGCTACAGGGGGAAATCCAATCCCCCCCCCCCCTGCAAAAAAATTGATAGCCTCCAAAACCCCCGAAAAAATTGATAACCCCCTGAAAATATTACGACAACCGATCAATTCCATAACGGCAACTAAACTCCCTACACCATTGCCTCTCCAGATATATTACTTGCCCCTCCGAACAATCAAGTCTGGCTACGAGCCTGAGCTGTACAGTTGTACACGTTAAAAGTATCATGACGGTCGGAAATAGTGTAGACTGAAGCCATTGTCCTCTATATCTCTAATCGTAGCTCCATCGTGTTGGTAAATGTCCTCTCGCAGACATAAGTCCTAACGATAAATGACAGGTAATGACATAGATATGTATATATATCTCTTATTTGATATTTATGGGTTAAATGTTGACTTTGTATTCGAAATAATGTGAAAAAGCAAAACAACTTTTGCGCTCGAATTACTTAGCTATACTGTTAACAAAATTTTCGGCATATTAAAGATTTAAGTAAACATTAATTAGTTTAAATCTGATCTCAGTAAAGCACTTTGTCAAATCTGTCAGTCTCGATTACCTGGTTCAAATGTTATTAGGAATGTTTTAACAGCCAAGAGTGTCTAGTTAACCGAGAATTCAATATTCGTATTGACCCAATGTGCTTTATGTTTATCAAGGCAAATTTAAGTAAAATCTATCAGGAGAACATCAAATGTTGCGTGATTCTGGAACATTTCCGTATATTCTGTCACTTTCTGTGATATCAAGTTAACCACGGACTGTCGACAATCTTGAAACGTATTTTCAATATCCATTTGTGATCACGATCCATCGTGCAGGTTTTCATTTTCCGCGGACAATCTTTATGAACCATGAAAAGCATTAGAAAAGGAATTAGTTCGCTCTAAACCAAGACTAACCTTTACTTTGAATGATCTAGCATTGCATTTGAGTGTAGTCATAGACAAATATCATGTCCAATGATGAATCAATAGGTGGGGATTGGCTAATATGGGCTACAGAAATGCTGAGGGTGGGGAGTGCAAAGACATTAAAGAAATCAATGAGCTGAACCCATCAAACAAGTATATTGTGCTTGGCCTAATGGCTCCGGATTTCAGCTAGTCTGAGAAGAATTTTGAGCATTTAAATGGCATTAATGGGGCTCAATGGCTCAATAATCTACCTCCTAAATATGCCACTTTGATACCTTGGTTCAACCATGAACATCATCTAGGCAAGACGAAACATAATGAGCTCTATTGAAATTTATTATCATTTCAAGACCGGCAATATTAGACGTTTTTTCATGAAAATCATCCAAGATATACAATTCCCTGATGAGATGAAGAAATAAATGAATTGTTGAATTACAAATTCTGTTTCACCATATCTCTCATAGGAGCTGTTTATCTTTCACGGTCTGTTGACGATATTGCGTATTACATTATATGTGGCCATTATATAATGTAGGCCTAAATGAAATGCAAGAAAAAAGGGACAGAGACGCCATTTTTGAGGTTGATTTTGAATCTTGAATATATGCAAATACTCTCCAGGAATACATGTACTACAAATGTACGAAAACCACACAATCAAAAACAGCTCAAACTTCACTTTATTTTCCTATATTAGAGTTTTCTGTATATGGCAGAGTCTCAAGAAAAGACGTGTCCTCTTTTTAACTTTCAAACGTGGATAAGTCTGGACACGTGTATGGATTTGAAGGCAGAAACTTCGTCGGCGAATTGTGAACATTACTACTGATTAGCTTCAGGTGCAGACACACGAGCGGTCTAGTTGGTGACAAAAATTTCCGACCAAGACCGTTCGTGTGCCCGCACTTTAAATAAAAATCCCGTTTGAACTGAGAAGTCTGAGGTTCCTGCGATTCCACTCAAACTAAAAGTTTTTTGACTTCACTATCGCTAAGGCCGTTAAATATTATCAGAATATTTTGTGATATTGGTATTAAATACGGTTAACCATTTGCATAAATACTGGAACCACAAAATAATATGGAAAATTTGAATGATACAAATAGGATACATAAATGGTACCATTTCACGAACAAAAGCTAGAAAACCTCTTTACAGCCAGCTTAAAAAAATTAAGTATACATTGCACTCGGTCGGAGACTATCTTTAAAAATGTAACATAATGTATCAAAATAACATTATATGTATTAAATTTATATGTGTGAAGAATATTCTCGACTTCTCGCTCCAGTAAAGTGAGCTCTAAAAATGTAACACAATGTATCAAAATAACATTATAATATGTATTACATGTATACGTTTCGAGGAATATTCTCGATTTCTCGCTCCTGTAGAGTGAGCTCAGTTATTTTGTTCAGCCGCTAGTAGTTCGAATTTTGGCAATTTTGGAAGTAAATCCCCATTTTCAAAACTAGTTGAAACTGAATATGAAGAATGCAGACATGGGCTCTTATAGGGAGATTGTGACAGAAAGGAATATCCTATGGAAACGAATTGTGATATAATCGTAATCTGGAATGACCAGACGGATTCATACAATGAATAATTGTATTTAAAACTTATAATCTACTAGCTTGAAATAGGCCTATAGTTATCAATGCTAGCAACATTCTGGTAGACCAGTGATGATGGAAATGGATAATGCGTTGTGAAATATTCGCTATGTAGTCTCGAATATCTTACACATGATTTCTTCTGTTTAAACTTGGTTTAACTCCAGCTTAATTAGGAATTAGGAAATCGCTTGAGGGAAGAGTTGTCCCGATTTCCACTATTCGAGTGTTGTGAACTTTCAATACACCACTTATCTCTGAATAAAGAACACATTTACACCAATATCTTCATTTGACATATTATATGGTGCGGAATGTTACGACTTGGGTCATTTATTCAATTTGTTCATTCATTCATTTCTTCATTCATTCTCCTCTTATAAAACATTGATATGCATAGAATCGTCAGTCACTTTGACAACATAAATATGACTAACATTTATTCATTCATCCAATTCATGTATCCATTTTATTTTATTTTTTATTTTTTTTATACTTAATTTAATTTAATTTAATTTAATTTAATTTAATTTAATTTAATTTAATTTAATTTTTGTTTATTTGTTTTATTTAGGTATCTTAATCTATCTATTGATTTATTTATTTTATTTATTTATTTATTTATTTTTTATGTGGGACATTGGTAACATCAATTAGTGACGTCATCAAACACCCAGTTTTAATGCGATTGCAGGAATCACAAACGTGTGGTTGAAAATTGGAATGGTGTAAAGTGATGCTATCAGTGTCCCAGATACACATAGCAAATTTAGAAAACCTCTTTAAAATCCCTTTAAAATAAATTCATCCTTACATTATCCATTAATTTTGTTGTTGAAGACTATAATAGTAAATTAGTATATAACTACCCCGAGTTGAGTTGAAAGCGTTCAATAAAAACTATGTCAGGCTTATGTAAACTAATTTCACTATATCATTTACCTTCACGAAATTTTATTAGAATTGTGTTAATGTCTTGAACTGTCGACACCGTTCTATATTAGTTTCTTAATAGTGACATATCTGTACTTTACGTGAACATAACAATTTAAAATTGGAAGAAAAGTTAAACGTCAATTCGTTTTTTGTCCAATACAATCGAGAGACTGTCTAAAAGCCTTCACTGTAATTGGTTTATAAATGGCCTATAATACTTATTAAATTGTAACCCTTTTTTCTCACTAAAACAATTCACTTTAGTTCTTTTGGGTTAGTAATAAGACTGTTATTAAAAAACTAAGACACCTAAATTACAAAACGAATTCAAAACGTTTTAGTACACTGAAGTAAACGAACGCCTGTCATTGAACCTACTGCGCATGCTCAGTCACATGAATGAACATAACATCCGGTTATCATTTTATCCTATTTTATTAGTTTTTGTCTACATTTTGCGAGAAAATACGACGAGCGTAGTGTTTTATTGGGCAGTGTGAATAGTATACAAAGCAACTAGTTAGCTGGTATAGGTATTAGTGTACTTTGGGTGTTTATAACTAGGCTAATGGTAATAGTTAGCTGTCTCTACTATCGAAGCGTGTATGTAGTATTATTACACAGGCGTGCGTAGTATGTTAATAGTATTATCGTGCTCTATAGCTTGAATGTTCTAAAACGAACGACAGACTTGCTTTTATAATGGCCGACTGTGAACTTGAATCAAACTCAACTTCTGCGGACACAAGTTTGGATTCCGAATCCGAATTTACTTGCGTCACAGAAACACAATGTGAAATATCCGAAGATCAGCTGAATTCCGACTCAGTAGTTACGTCTTCTAACACAGAATCCTCAACAAATGAACCGTCCAGATCTACGAAAGTCAAAGGGCGAGAAGTACCTGATATGACGTCACAGTATTGGTATACGGCAAGCTGCTTTGACCGATATTGGAAACATTACCGAAGAGTTATGACGTGGTATGGCAAACATCTTCAAGTATACCACAATCTTCAGCATCGATATTCGGCACATACCGCGAATAATTCAGCGCCTAACAGACCTAAATCGAAAAAGAAAAGAAAACGGCGACTACAAAAACAGAGATCGAGAAAATTGCGCGTCGATCTGTCTCCGTCGAATACGGATCGTTCCAGCACACAGGAAGAAAAGCCGCATGGAAATGCAGAGGAACCGATGAGCGTAGAGGCTGATGCCCTAGGAGATGAATTGGTTGAAACAGAAGAATATGAGATGGAAATCACAGACGAAATGCTGGAATTTTTCGCCAAGTCACAACAGCACAGAAAGGACAGAGACTCTAAAGATAACCAAAATGGGAAGGCTACTGAAATGGTCAACATTGAGGACGCTCACAAGCCATTTAGGACAGTAGAACCCCCTAAGGAACGTCCCGGAGTGCGAAGAACTGCCGAAATGAAATTATTGTATGGTAAAGGTGCCGCTATGATACATGGCATGGAAACTGCTCTCAAAATGTCTTACGATAGAAACCTTGATGTGAAACAACCCAAAGTATGGCCAAATATTCCGTTACGAATCGTCTTTGCTGATACGTGAAATCCGTTGAATATAAGATTACTGAAAACGGATTTTATATAACGAAGTTTTTTAACCTGTGACGCATATGTGTTTCGGATTCCGAATCAGCATTTGAATGTTAAAAAGTTTCAAACATGTCAAGAATTCAAAATCGAAAATTTTAGGTTCCGTTCACGGCCTTTAATATTGTTTCGACAAAAACTGTCGGTATATGAGAAGAGTTCTGTATATAGGAAGATTCTTTAGAACATAATTGTGTTTATTTTGTATAAAAAATGTTTGTATGTGTACAATATTATGAATGAATAAAATTTATACATATCAATTATCATTTCTTATTATAGACATGTGCAAATTTCTCAAAAAGATTTTGATATACCAGTTCCAAAGTTATGTGTTCATTTTCCAAAGTTAATTTTGCAAATCCATGACGCAAAATGACACCAAGTGTCCCTGCTAACTACCACCAATTGCTACAGTATTTATAAAATTGCATTGGCGAAGCGTAATGGAGGCAAATGCCTAGCTATTGGAACGAGGACCAAAATTAGAAGTGTCTTGATTTTAATAATGTACTTTAAATCCCTCCTAACCTTTGCCTCATTTGAACTATGCCCACTTCCTACCATCAGCGTCAACAACAACATGACTTCCCGGTCACTGATTTCAGGAGGAGTGTGAAGGTACCAATTAGAAACAACCATTTGTAATGTTTCGCAATTCAAGTATAACAGACATCTCGTTTGCTTGCTCACTGAACTTCTAAAAGAGACAGATAAGTGTCCTTAACTTCGCTAGTTGACATTTATTTCCTTGATCAACAAATTTCGCAACTGCCTTTTTGAACTATATCATGAAATTTAGAGTACACCATGAATCCAATCTGGTCACATTGCAGCATTTAAGGGACAGATTCGGCATTTTCGGGGGTTGAATTGAGTCTTGAATATAATGTAAATGGTCAAATGATACAAAAATCGCATATATCCTTCTAAAATATCTCACATTAGGAATCTCATTCTCTATTTCTATATTACGTCTTTTCTATAATGGCATAGTCTCAATGTCGAGTCGTCATTTTAACATTAAACGCGGATAATTCTGGACACACATGTATTTGAAGGCTAAAATTTCGACGGTGAGGTGTGTACGATATTACTGATTAGTTTAGCTTAAAAAATTCCCATTTCTGAGACTGATCAAATTGGGGAATTTGTCTCTTTCATGTTTTTCGTTTCGTTGATTTTTTCAAACTTTCGCTTGTCAATCATTGGATGACAACAGGTTGTAGCTCAGTTAGAGCGTTGGTATCTTGACGTCATACGCGGTCCGGAGAAATGATGGTCGTGGGTTAGACACACCTGTATTGGAACGGATCAGATCATGCCAATAGTTTTAGCCGAGAACCAGCTGGTAGACCGAATCCTCGAGAACCAAAGTTAACCTTGTAAAATATGGATATTTGAGTGAAATAACGACACAAAAACTGGCTAGAATAAAGGTTATCTTGTACAATGAGCAAGCAGATTTATTGGTAGAATGGCAATATCTGGTAGGTATGTAGATAGATGGCAAGTTATTGTTGACAATAAGTGGATGCTGATATCGCAAACTCGTTAGTTGTTGGTAGTCGATTGATAGTGGTTGGTTTGGTTTGGTTTGGATAGATTGTTAACTGTGTTATGGTATAAATATTTTGATAAATCGGGATGCATTGAATGCTTGGTTGAGCAAGGCATGCCATTCAGTGTAATATTAAGAGAACGCAAGACGTTTAGGGTTATCGATTGAAGAATTTTACTATCGTATGACGAAATATAAAATGGCAAAATTAAAGATGGGTTTCCTTATTTTTTAGTATCAAATTCAGCAAACTATTTGATTAATTGATGTTTCGAATGAATTGTGATGTTTTCTTAATCATATCATATTATTATATTGCATATAATTAATTTTAACAAATCATAATGTCTGGATAAACAAAAAAGACCTTTCTTGATCGGTCACTCATTGGAATTCTGCTGGTAATTCTCTTCTAATTTAGTTAATTATGAATTAATTATAGACATGAGAGACAAACTGGTATTTTTTCAAGTCATTAGAACACCTGTACTTTCTATTAATATAATTATTAGCAATTTTATTTTCATAAATGAAAATAAGGGAACCCATCTTTAAGCAACTTGAATATAGACATTTCATAATATCCCAGACTAACAAATCGATCGAAAGTTATGTTATAATTATAAGGGTATTTTACATTCGCTAAATTTTAAGTAATATTGTCTTCCAAGTATTCTACTAGCTACAATGAACATATCTCATATTCACATGCCTTTGTTCACTTAGCATCACAGTTGCAGTGAACTTACCATCAGAAAGTAAAATGTTAAGGGTACCGGAATTTTCCCCGTTTAACAATTGTTCGCTTGGGGTAAGGACCCATTTACATTTCTTATACTCTAGATTTGTTATTTGCTTGTTTGTAAAACAAACCCACCCATCGACTCTATATAACGTATGACCAAAATAATGATACTGGATGATTTTAAATGTGTTCTTTTCAAAGGAACCTGTAATTACTGATGCGTTCTAGACGGAAGTTATCTTATCATAATATGTCTGGATCGATGGCGACTACGTGGTTTTAGTGAATACTTGCCTGTGATTAATTCAAAATGAACATTTTAGTCGAATGTCTTTCAGGTCCAATTAGATGCTTACAAAAATATCAAGGGGGGTTCATTCACAGCCCTTTCAGTTAATTAAAAGCAATTCTTAAGATGTTGATTATTGCAAACAAAATTCTAAGACAGGTCAACGTCGGGGGCCTTTGGTCATTCAAGATAGCGTATAAAGCTTTTGCGTATACCTTTTAGTGTAAGTTTCCTTTGAAAATTGGCCTCCCATTTCTTGTTTGTGTCAGTCTTTCTAAGGTTTGACATCATTTTAAAAGCCGTTCTTAAGATGTTAATGGATTGAAGTATATTTGTAGGATAGGCCAACGCCATGTGTATCCTTTGATCAAATTCATCAAAGATGCTACATCGGGAAACAATCCATCCTGGACAAAGCATGGGCTATTGGGAACCTCAAAGTGTACCAAGAGTTCAAAGATCGGGATTTTTTATATAAAGACTGCGAAGGTTATTGCCGTCTTTTATTAACTGTGGTTTTTAACATGTAGTCGCAAGTTCCCCCAAATTGTATTAGTATGAAAACGATGTCCCCATCAAATGTACAAGGGTTGGATACCAAGCATGGTCTACGTTAGTGTGTGGTCCAAAATGCTCCAAATAATTAGTACTGATGAGAAACAATGTTAGCCAAGGCCGTGAGATGTTGTTGAGAGGGGGAGGGGGGTTGATTTCGGTCCTATATATGTAAATAGTCTTCAGAAGTACAAGAAATGTTGGAAAATCGAATAATTCCTTCATAAATTTCTCAAACTAGGTATTTCTTTTTCTTTTTCTATAGATGTATTTTCTTTATATTGCAGTGTCTCACAAAAATACGACTCTTTTTAACTTTCAAACGTGGATAATTCTTTAATGTTCCTTACAATGAGAAGTGGTCAAAACTCAGCTGGACTTTAAGACACTCACTAATCATAAAAGATTATTAACATCAGATAAACTACGTCTTGATTTTGTCACTGAAATGAACAGACGTCAGTTTTGACGTTGATATTCATACACTCTTGTCAATTAGACAAAGTTCAATCTTTAAAATTGAAAAATGAAATATTTCTCGTTGAAAAATGGAATATTTGTCGTTGATAAATCAAGTTATTTGTGAATGGTATGTCTAAAACTCGTATAGAAACTTGATAGATTGAGATTGGGGTCATAGTTCATTTAATATATACTGAAACTCGGGATAACGGCCTGGCGCCAAATTCTGGAAAATCAATATTTCTGCTTCTGTGGAATTCATTCATCATGTTTCGTGTTCTTGTCACCCCATGTTAGAAGCATTGATTGAAATAGATAGCACTTCCTGTTTTTGACTCCTTTTCTGCTGTGTAAGTTTTTAAACGAGTGTCGAAATAAGAAACCTTTTATAATGTTCAACTTTGATTTTGATCATGTGATACTTATAGTCCGAATATCAAGACTTCTACGGAGTTTCAGCGTTATACTTGTATTATAAATGGATCTGAAAACTCCGAAAATTTACGATTCCATTTTTACAGTGTAATTTCATATCGGCCATATATCTCGGAAAGTTTGTCACGAAAGGTGCCGGCACACGTGCGGTCGGAGACCGATTGAAGTCTTAAGAAAAATCTCGCGTGTGCCCATGCTTCCACGACAAGATTATCGCGTCCCAACAGGATTTATGATATAAAAACCAGTTTTATGCAAGACAGAGCGTCATCATCCAATCAGATTCATTTTCATTTCAATTGCATGCTTCGTGATTATCAACGACGGGCTGGATATTTTTTGTCTCCTCTTGTGCCCGGCAAAACTCGTGACAAGACTCTTGTCGGCGACAAAAATCTCCGACCAAGACCGCTCGTGTGCCCACACCTTAAGGGAGCTAATATTTTGTATTGCTTAGTCTAAGACTATGTACTATAAATGTTTTTTTTCTATAATGGAGGGGGTCTTTTCACAAAAATTGGTCTACTTGACATGGAATGACCCATGTGTTTTGTATCTCCCTTTAAATCCTTGTTCAATGAAACCGAAAAACAACCTTAAAGGGATTGTAAAGAGGTTTTTCTAAAAAAAAATATGTGTATCGGGGACACTGAAAGCATCAATTTTTTAAACAGACGTCTGTAGTTCTTGCAATTCCACTAAAACTAAGTGATTGATGACGTCACTAATCGAGAAGGGCCTTATGTGATACAAGCATATTTTGCAATTTGTGATGTCAAACACTTAGTTTTAGCGGAATTGCAGGTACCACAGACGTCTGATTGAAAATTGGAATGTTGCAAAGCGATTGATGTTCCCAATAAACATAACAAAATTTAGAAAACTTCTTTACAATATGTTTAAGCGGTTAAAAGCTAATACCTACAGGGTCAGTAGGATATCCCAACCGCAAAATCGTACAAACCAGCCTAACCGGAAGTTAACGTTTCCGTGGATATAAGGCTTTTCCACTATAATCTTTCATAGATCTTGACGATATTGACTAACTATTGAATTTAGAGATTTGAGGAATGATGGTGACGACTGAAGTTCATTACATTGGTTTATAGCGTTAAATGAAAGCCCATTAGGATAATCAGATAATCATGTACAGTGATATAAATCACGAGGATAAATTACGTTTCTGCTCAGTTGGCCGTGAATCACTCGTATCA